AGCCCCCCTCCAGCAGCCAGGAGTGAGAGTCAGGCGGATGCCAAGGGGCACTGCCTGGAGCCACCGGATTAGAGCTGACAGGAAGCCAGACTCCTAGACCCCCCCTGCAGCAGCCAGGAGTGAGAGTCAGGCGGATGCCAAGGGGCACTGCCTGGAGCCACCGGATTAGAGCTGACAGGAAGCCAGACTCCTAGACCGGCACGCGCGGCCTTACACCAGGCAAGGGGACTCCACAGGCAGCATGGCAGAGCCTGGCACCAACCAGGGCTGCTGAAGCTGAGCAAGGTGCCAGCCTGGCTGGGGGCCAGCAGAGAAGGCAGAGCACCCCATGCACCCTCGCAGGGCCCAGGCACGACCCTGGCTGGGCGAAGAGCCGGAAGCCACGGGGCTGCAGCGCCTGGCAATCTCCTGGCAAGGCCCTGACGGCGCGATGCCGGAGCCGTGTTTTACATTCGGAGCGCATGAGTGCCTTCCGCTTGCGAGAACAGAACACCCTGTTGTTCCTCGGCACGGACAATGAGACGGATAATTCGCTGCCATGAATTAACATGTTTTTGATGTCAGTCCAGATTAGCTCGTCCCGCATGATCAGCGCCGGGCTGTCTTTTCACTTTAGCGGCAACGTTCAGGAGAGGGAGGACGGGGAGGCGGGCGGCTCCGCCAGCGCAGACGCACCTGGGGCATGGCGGGAGGGGAGGTCTGAGCAGACAGAGGAGCCCAGGGACTCCATGGGGGCCGGTGGGATACAAAGAGTTCCCCAAGACCCATCAGGTTGGATTCCTCCTCCCAACGCACGAGGGGCCCAGGCCAGCTGGTAATGATTCACCCTATGCTCTTAGTGCACTGTAGGATGGGGTTGGGGGGTAGGGCTGGCTCAGATCGCAAATGTGGGGGGGGGCTCTGGCAACCCCCCAACTGGGCAGGACGGATGATGAGCAGGATATTTAGTGCCCAGTGCTGTCCAAGCCATTTTGTGCCAACCAGGGTCCCTGTGCTTGCGACGGAGCGCTCCTTAGGGAAATGGGACACGCCTCCCTTTGTCTCAGCCCAGGAAGGGCTGCGTGGCTTCTTTCCCCACGTAAGACAGGAATTCGCACTCTGCTCCTGGGGTCTTGCAGCAGCAAGTAGCTGGATGGTAGCGTGGGGGAAAGGGGGGAGCACGAGAAGTCTGGTAGCCAGTGCCAGGTGCCCCAGAAGGCCTCGGCAGAAGGGGCGGGGCTGGGGGCAATCAGAGCTTTGGGATGCCCACCGCAGGGTGTGTGGTCCTGCCCGTGTTGGTGAATAGCCATTGGGGGGACCTATCCGCTATGGGACGTTCGAGTTCTCTTCTGGACCAAGCTACGGTTCTGGCCTGTGCTGCATCCCCCGGGCAGGGAGTTCCACTGGGCGGCTATGCAGTGTGAAGAACTACGTCCGTTGTTTCACACCCGCTGCCGGGCGATGTTATTAAACGGCCCCTGCCTCTGGTTTTATGAGAAGGGGTAAATCCATGGGTGGCGGGTATGCGAGGCAGGGGGAGGCCTTGCCTTCCCAAACTGCCAGCCTGGCCCCACTCACACTCCGCCTCCACAACACCTGCTGTAGGCGTACTGCGGCAGGGTGTTGCTCCCCCAGCACCTGTGCTCTGGCCCGGGGAGGCTGAGGCTGCATGGCCACCATCCCCGTGCTTGGGGAGAGGGGTAGTGTGGCATGCTGCCCATCTCTCGGTGGTGCCGGAAGCGGGGAGGCGACTTGGCTCCTGTAGAGGGTGGGGCCTCAGCAGAAGGGGCGGGGCCGAGGGCAGGGCTAGGAGTTTGCCTCTCCCAGCCTTACCTGCACCCACTGTCCTTATTCCCTTTCTCCACATTACTCATGGTTTTCCAGCCCTGTATCATATCCCCCCTTAGTCGTCTCTTCTGAGCTGAGCAAACCCAGCCTTTGCAATCTCTTCCCAGCTGGAAGCCGTTCCAGACCCTTCGTCAGTTTTCTCGTCCTTCTTGGTACTTTTCCCAATTCTCACATTTCTTTTTTTGAGATGGGGCACCCAGAGCAGCAGCCAGCATTCAGGGGTAGGCGTACCATGGCTGCGCATGGAGGCATTATGGTATTTATTGCCCTATTTTCTCTCCATTCCTAACCGTCCCTAATGTGCTGTTTGCTTTTTTGATTGTGGAGGCCCATTGAGTGGATGTTTTCAGAGAATCATCCACAACAACGTCGAGTGGGAATAGCTAGTCTGCACCTCACTATTTTGTACGTATGGCTGGGATTATGTTTTCCAATGGGCATCATTATGCATTTATCTACATTCAGCTTCATCTGCCATTTTGTTGCCCAGCAGCCCGGTTTGGTGAGATCCCTTTGTAATTCCTCGCAGTCAGCTTTAGTCCTAAGCATCTTGTGTCATTTTGTATGGTCTGGAAACGCTGCCGCCTCACTGTGCCCCCCTTTCCCCGGATCATCTGCGAGTATGTTGAACAGCCCTAGTGCAGACCCATGGGGGAACTCTCCCCCAGCTTCCCACTGACCATTTAATCCTGTTCTGTGTCTCCGATCTTTTAACCAGTTACTGATCCGTGAGAGGACCTTCCCCCTTATCCTATCACTGCTTAATTTGCTTACGAGGCCTCAAGTGGGGGACCATGTCAGAGGCTTTTTTGGCTGTGTCTAGACTGCATCCCTTTTCCGTAAAAGGGATGCAAATTAGACACATCACAAGTGCAAATGAAGCGGGGATTTAAATCCCCCCCACTTCATTTGCATAAAAATGGCTGCCGCTTTTTTCCGGCTCGGAGCTTTTCCGGAAAAAAGCGCCAGTCTAGATCTTTCGGAAAATAAAGCCTTTTCCGAAAGATCCCTTATTCCTTATTTTAAGAGGGATAAGGGATCTTTTGGAAAAGGCTTTATTTTCCAAAAGATCCACGTCTAGACTGGCGCTTTTTTCCGGCAAAGCTCC